CCGTGACTTCCACCGTGACTTCCACCGTGACTTCCACCGTGACTTCCGCCGCCACCGCCGCATACATTAGGACAACTTTGTTTTTTTGAATTTGTGCAAGCTGGAATCTTGCGACGACGGCAACGGCATCGACGAACGATAACTTTGTTTGAAGAGCTTGATAGTTTTCCGGAATCACCATTGTTGCCAAACAGACCGAATGGGTCAGCCAAGGCCTCTGGCTCTGCCTCTGGGTCTGCAAATGCCTCTGGCTCACAAATTACCAGAACAGCCTATGAAACGTTGAAATTAATTTATCAAACTGAATATTGATTTTCCACAAATCACCAATCTTTTGAAACTTACCAACAGGGCGATTCCAAGAAGAACTAATTGCAATTTCATATTGATTTGAAAATTGTAAATTGTTATTTGATCGCAACTAATGTATCTCTAGCTGTGTATCAGCAAACTATGATGTTATTATCGAAAAATGGATGGGTATTTATATGAAAAATTGCTGCTATAGATCGCCCAATTAAATGTTACATCCAAATTCATTATTTGGTCAAGCGATTTGCTGTATTTACCTGACCGCGAATTAAGATTTACCAGAATAGTTAAATAAAACTAATATTCTAATTACAATCTAAATGACTAACATCTGCTTCAACTTGGACTTACACGCGAATGGCTATTTCATCTATCAATCTATTATAATTGTTAGAATCAATATTTGCTTATCACTCAATTTCACCGAGAAAACAAAATTTCTAATGACCCCAAACAAAGCATTGATTGCGTTGTAAACAACTGAAATCGAAGCAAGATTTTGACCGCGTTCTATATTTTGGCGAAATTTATTTGCGCATACTTTCTGTTCTCCTTTGGTATTGATATTAGTAGTTCGCGTGCAAACCTATTCACCGATTCATTGTGAACTTGAGCGACTGAAAATCGATCGAGAAAAAAAATTGACACCGAAATGACAACGAAACGAATCACAAGTTCGGTTCATGTTTTTAGTACCGAAATGGAATTCGTTCTTTGAGTACACACTTTTGTTTAAATGTGGTTTTCATCATAACCAAAGGCATTGTATGAGCCAGATAGTAGATTAGTGAGCACTGCACTGTCGCATAAGATCGTGGATTGCCCGACGTTCATCTGATTACAGAACATATGGTTTTCATAAATCTTCTTTTCCAAATTTAATGAAGCCACAGTTGCTATTCATACATTGATATTTATCGTTGATGGTTTTTCTATGAGTTTCAGTGATTGATCGTCACTTTCATTTTTTGTTTTGTTTCAAAATTGACTTATGACCCAGTAAATCGCTTCGAAATATTAAATCGGAACGGATTTGTTCCATGTTGATGCCTTCATTGATTTCGGCCAACGCTTGCGCAACGATTCGAATTCAATCGAAAGTCAGCACAATTCTGTCTTTGAAACATTCAAATTTGTTGCGAAACGCGGTTCACCCGCATTCACGTTGAAAATTATGAAACGATCATATCTCATTTTTCGTGCATGTTTACAGTTTTTTTTTCCACGCATTTCAATTCCTATAAACTGATCCAATTCGTTTTCTATCCAATCCAATTATTTCGCTTTCGTTTTGGGTCAAATTTCCAAATTGCGTTATTAATATGTGTGAGAAATTGGAAGTGAGCCGAATTATATATTGATAAAAGATGTGTAAAATCAAAGCTTTCTCTCTTTTAGACTGGCTATTCCAAAGAAAAAACTACTCGATTTTTTTATTCGTGTTACAATTCCATCAGTTAACTGCTATCAGCTCCTTACACAAGATCTCAAATTACATCGGGACCAGAAACAACAACAAAAAATTGAGTGTTAAAACAATCTGTTGACATAATGGCCATTTATTATAAACGAAGCTGCACCGAAACTTGGCCATTTATTTAAATTTCTCATCAAAAGCCGATAAAAAGAAAAGTCGTAGGTCTCTCGCATTTCGTCGCTTTTGTTCCAGCGTCATAAAAAAACGAGCAATAAAACACCCAACGATTAACTTTATTGACATAATTTATCGGAGTGTTAGAAAAGAAATAGAATGCATGTTATCAGTTGTCGATGGAATTCAGTCTCATCATGCGGTCATATCCTGTACATTTTTCAAATGAGAAAATTTGAGGAAAAAATAGACAAAAATCGAATGAGAAAGAGAGAGAGAGAGAAATTGTATTTAAAATTCCATGTGCTCTTAACAAAAGAGAAATAAAAACCAAGAACAAATATTTGATCGCCGAACACTGAAGTGAACTGCATAACAAGTAAATATATAGATGTTCTGTTTTGTCACACGCAACGATCGTACCCGTAGACAAAAGACCATTTTTCGCTCTGATCGCAACCATTTAAAGTGCTTTTCTTCGATTCGATCCCAACCAAAGAAATGAAGACGAAAACAGCAACTCTCTCGTATGCATGCATCGTACTAACGCAACTGTTTTGAGACCATCTTTTGAATACAAAACACGTTATTTGGTTCGCTTTGTGGAGAAAACTCGAGATGGAAATGTGGCTTTATGGCTTTCAGTCGTATTGATAAAATAATATCAATATAATTTGCCAACTAAGGTGTGGCATCCAGATGTGTGTGTGTGTGTGTATGTGTGTGCCTCAACTACACAATCACAAATGGAAAGCAACGTGCTTTCAATACGATTCTTTCACGTGTGAGACTGAACATTTTGTTTCTTAATTTTCACGCTCAATACGACACTCATTTCATATTCTTCACACTTTCAACACAAAATCACTCACGCATCGTACGTTGTACGTTGTACGTTTCGTTCAAAGAGTGGACCGTTCATTCCATTTTCCATCGAGAATGTTGATAGAATAGCAAATCGTCTTGAATTGTGTACATACAAACTAATGAAATGATGATAGCCATTGAGAACCTTGTGACACCAAGCAAACCAGAAAAAAATGCAAAGAATTCATGTAAACATAAACAAAGCATGAGCAAAGTTTCACTGGCCAAATCATTAGATATTCATCGAATGTAATTCATCACAATGAATGGTGATTTGTGAATCAATTTTAAGCTTCTTGAATTTACTTCACCGTTCCTTTTAGTTTGGCTAACAATAAAACCACTCCAAATTTCACTTTTTCAATTATACCATTCTTTATTCAATAGATATTTTCATCGAAAATTGAAATCAGAAATAGACTAAATTTAATTTCAAGATCGAATGAAGAGAGAAATCCACTTGAAAATGCAATAATAAAATGTGCATCTGAATATGCGCCATTCGAAAACTTTCACACAAGCACGTCTAACAAAAGCTCATCATTTGGGAGTGCAATTATAGAGGGATTAGTTTATATCAAATTGACCACGGTTGTATAACCCAAAAATGAAGTTTTTGTGCCATCCGTGATTGATCAGCTCCAGAACCAGAGCGTCTTATGAGCTGATGTCAGCAGCACTAACTAACGTCAGCTGCTGACAAGTATGCGTTGCGTTGTTTTAACACATTTGCAGTCAGGGTTGGTATGTAAAAAACTCAAGCATGTAATTTACATTTCGTTTACGTAAATTACATGATGTAAATTACATGAAAATTTCGGAATTCTCTACGTGAATTGTGTAAAAAACCAAATTGGATTTTGGATATAATATAAAAAAGTTAGAATTTATTTCAGACTTTCTCGGACATTTTTATTTCTAATGCAAAAGATTAACATAAACATAACTGATGAATCAAAAATGAATGAAAATTGTGTAGTATGTATCGTTGTCGCAGGTTTGGTTTCATTTCTCGTTTACAATATTCCAATCGTCGATATCGTCGTCTTCATATAATTCATCAATCATCATTCAATCGCAGCGTAAAATAAATGTTGACCAGATTCTTTGATGTATCAACCGAGAGCCTGTATCTGATGTCATTATGAACATAGCCCCAATTGGAGAAAAGCCGTTCTAGTTGCGCTGTCGATGCAGGGATTTTCAGAAATTTCATCGCAAACGAGCTGTTCAAGAATGTTGTTTTTCATTTCGTTTTGCTGTTCTTGATTCAATTTTTCACCGCGATATACTGGATGCAAATAATTTGCCGTCATCGTAACAATGTTTAACACTTTACTTTACTCGCAACGATAGTCCAAAAAACTACACAAATCTGGACAACAATTAAATTTAACCATTTTTCAACGACATCTGCACTGAGATATCGCTTCTTTGACAGTAGTTTGTGAGTTCAGCCACCGGATCGGACAATCCAAGCAATTTTTTAACTGATGGGACAAAATTTGCATTGAACAAAAGTGCTGAAGCTTTTCCCTTCTTTTGCATACTGTATGCATTATCCGTCAAAACCGAAGTAATTGTGGCATCATACCGTTCTTTGGCTATAGCGATCGACTTTTCCACCGCCTCAAATAAATTCTCTCCCGTATGAATTCACATGTTACCTAGTTTTGTTAATTTAGCAGTTTTTTACATCCAAGAGGTTTTTTACACGTAAAAAACGTAATTTACATTTTTTTACGTAAATTACATGCGCGACTTAAAAATTGCGTAAATATGCCAACCCAGTTTGCCGATTCCACTTCTTTTTTTGTTTGGGCGATGCAAATATTCATTGTGCTTTTTTGCTTTGTGCTTAAACTTCTTCTACACACGAAGGATAAAATGGTCTTGATTCGTCTATTCAACATACCATCGAAACAAACTGAACGGCTAATACATTTGAAAAGAAATATTGTGGATATTTCTTTTACCCAAGTTGAAAAGAAAATTTGAAATATTCATTTCTTCAGAATCATATTAGTTTTTTAATGCTCTTGATTTGATTGGAAACGACTGACTAATTTTCCATAGTTAATATTGATTTTTTCTATATACCAATGGAAAACAAACAAACATTTTAATCAATTTTCTTAAGACGTAGGTAAATTTGAATTTATAACAACAGTGCCATTTATAGATCCATGCAAATACAGATGCTATTACTATTGCTATTGCCATGTTCCAAATCTATGAAAGCTAAAATTAAGTTGTCATAATCTGCATCAGATAACGATGGAACAAAAGAAATGTGGACATAACACATGTAAATATGTACCATAGACACGTTTTTTCGCTCAAAGAAACACAATGAACGGTCATGGAACAGATTTGTGGCCATTTATTAATGAAAATGAATTAATTGATTTCATTCTCATGTGTGACATATCTATTCGTGAGACGTAAAAGAATGTATGTTTTTTTCTCAATTTATATTTTTGAAAAGGAAAGTATGTTTTCTATTGATTCTATCTGCGTTAAAAGAAAGTTTGTTGTAATACCGTCTAGCCTCCGCGGTCTTCACGGTTTTCGCGCAACTGATAAGAGATAACAACTTGGTGTCTTGGGCAAA